TGCCTGCCTGCTACGCAGTAACCCGCCAACTAACGCGCCTTTTGGGTTTGGGCGAGGTGGTAGTGCAGACGATCCAGCTCACCCCCCGCGTCCACCTTGTCTCCAACTTGCAACCTCGTCGTTCGATCCTAAATCGGGATACAGGAGAAAAGATTTGGAAACCGAGTTGCTCATGGTTATGGAGTCGTGCTCGAGGTGGCTCTCCATGTCGCATCTCACTTTTCCATTTTTCACCGATGATGGATGATGGAGGGGGCCGAGCAAACCAGGTACCGAAAAGAATGCAGACAAGAACCAGAGCCGCAAGGCCCGGCGGCCTATCAACTCTATGCAAAGAAACGAAGATCGCCAGAACAGAGCGCTCGAGATCGGCTACTCGGCAGGCTCTCTCCTCGTTCTTGTTACAGGCCTTCAGAGTCAGTCATCATTTGAGTGTGCCGCTACTGTTGCCGTTCCGTGCGTGCCCATCCCATTCAATCTGTCCATTTCGGAGAGAGTGCAGCAGCAAATCACTCGCCAGTCGCCCTTGCTTCTTCATACTGGGGGCCGGAGCTTAAAGACAAACGATCCTGGGCGCACCTCCTCACCACAGTAGTGTAGGCATGCTGCTATGCTGTGGTACGAATGGACAGGACAGGCCCTGGCGAGGTCCAGGAGAGAAAAGAAGCTTGCGGCCGACCATGTTTGAATCGAGACACCCACTTGCTGCATTAAACAGGGTGCACCGCAGCCCACAGGGTCCAGACTATCCCTGCATCCCTGGCTGAGCCTAGATCCTGGTCCTGGCCTGCCGCCCGAAGGCAGAGGGGGGGGGGGGACAGCGGCCGGTCCCCCAGCACCCGCTTTTTGTGAGGGAAAGCAGAGAACAGACCAGAGGGGATCTGAGAGAGACGGGGACAAGGAGGACGAGCATGGCCCTGGGCCCTTGATGGCTGGCTGCAGTGGGCTGGTTAGGTCTCTCTCGAAAGAAGACGGAGCGAGGGCAAAAAGGTGCGAACAGAAACGCCGCCGTCTTGGGTGAGGCTAATGTCATGTTAATCCCAATGCGTAAAAGGTTGGGTTTGCTCTCCTTTCTCTCTGTCTCTCTGCTCTGGATCATACATAATAACATTACCACCTCACCCGCCCCATGCCTCTTGTCTCCTGCACAAACATACTTGCAGCTAATCACGGATACCCAGTCCCATTTCTGATCAGACCCCATCTCTCCTCACTCCGGACGAGTCGAGGGTGTCTCTTATTCTTCCTATATTACTATCAGACCTCGCTCGCCTTGGCACGTCAAATCCCACGAACACCTACCTCTTCCGTTCTGCTCTCAGCCGTCTATCCTTCCGCTCCTCCTCGCTGCACCCGGGTCTCACACCTCTCCCATTAGTCGCCCCGTCCCATCTTCTTCATTCCTCACAACTTGGGAACACACCAGAGCCCGTTACTTGTTTTGTTTCACTCGCCTGCGAGCTTTCCCACCCTCCATTACGCCGACTTTTTCTGCGCTCGGTTTCGCGCCTCGACCTGTCTCTGGTTGCTCTGCCGCTGTCACCGGATCTCTTTTCCTCTAATAAATTGGCTTGCCCAGACCTGGAGATATATCCCTTCACGTCTCGGCACACCCCGCATCCTTTCAAGCATCTCAATACAACACCACTGCCCTCCACCTTGAATTACCACATCCACCACTGGTAGTTCACAGTCATTATAACTTGCCGAATACCGCCTTGGCTTGAGAACATTGGTGGAATCGTTACAGACGCAGTAGTAATTGGAGTCTACGTCCAGCACAAGTCAATAGGCTAGTTGCACCAACTCAGACGATCTACTTCGTTGGAGGAAAGACAAACAGGAAAGGAACCCGGAGGTTCTCTTTTGTGGCTGGATTTACTTCGACGTCGACAATCACCGCGGGGCATAGATCACCAGACGAGCATCCCTGAATCTCCTCCAAGCCCTTTAAAACCAGAATTGAGAAAAGGCACGACGACAAAGACGGCATCTTTTCGCGCAGTAAAACACCAATTCTTGTACACGCCACAATCACCTATTGCCAAACATAATTACCGACAAAATGAAGCCTTCATCACTACTCTTCGCCCTGGGTTTCACCCAGTTCGGCTTGGCTGCTCCCGTTCCATCAACCATTTCAGATATGGTCTCACACGTCAAGACCGAAGCACGTCGTCTAACGAGGGTAACGCGCGTGTCCATGCACCGCACACGACCCGTCTCTGACGTCTATGACATCGAAACCGAGTTCAACAACGAGCCAGTAACACCATCCGAGGACATGCCCCCGTCAATCGTCCTCGCTGCACCGCGGCCCCTGAAGACCAGCTACCTCCAGTCCCTGTCAAGGCACCCGGCACCTCACGGAAAGGACAGAGTGGTGGACGTTGTGGGCGACGGAACCCCCGAGACGATCACGCCAATGTCGCTCAAGGATGGTCTGGCGGAGCTCTTGCCTTCTAGTCGTTTGCCGTGTTGGAAGCACATCACCCGGCCGACGATGAGGATCTTTGAGCAGCACCCCGATCTGATTGTTCTCGGGGCTGTGATCGCTCTGGTTCTCGTCCTTTTGGTGCTGGAGTTTGTCGGTACTACCTTCCAAGGGTGAGTTCATCTGCAATGACAACTTGCAACGTGCAATCGACTAACAAGAAACGCAGAGTACGCCAGCACTATGATCCGCAAGGAGTGATCCGGCTAGAGGTGGACGAGAAGGCATGCAAGACACCATCATTTCGATGTGACTCAATGCCTTATCACGATGAGGAGGAGCAGGATGCCGAGGAACCGAGACCATGATCTAATGGGATGGTTGAACCCAGGAAGGGAAACGAAAAAGAAAAACGAAAACAACAAAACCAACGAGTCTCAGGACTCACGGACTATTTTAATGTGATCACTAGACATTGCGATACCATCTTCTTGCTAGTATTGAGCGCGGCGCTGGTTAACGGCATGATGAAAAAAAAAAAACAAAGCCAATAAAAATTCATAAACAATCAACCTATCTGTACCCTTTCGGCTCTGTGGACTTGTTTGAGTGCGGGAAGGAGAGGACTTGGGGCATCGTATCAATGTTGGAAGAACTTCCCGACAGAAAGGGAGGCGGCTCTGGGTTTGAGACGGCGTCGGTGAGTTGGCTGAGAACCGAAGATGACCCAGAATCTCCGAGCATGGACGGACTGATCTACTCAATCCGAAGTCTTGCAACCTACCTTGATGGGGAAGGTTTTTCCAACTTCAAACTATGAGGCACGGTTGAAGAATGCTCTGGACAAGAGTTGCTGAGGGCACAGGAGAGATTCCAAGATACCATGTCTGCACCATATCTGCACCTCGAATACCACCTCAAATGTCAGAATGCCAGAATGCCAGTATTCTTGGAATTGCACATGCAAACAATTGGAGTTGAAGTATAACCAACTACCGACCTTCTCGCGCAGTCAGATGGAGTGCTCCGGCCTACGTTCCCGGCGTCTGATAAGGTAAATGGTGATGAGATAGCGGCTATTGCGGCCCGTCTACCTTATAGCAATGTTGCCGAAGTGCCGTGATCCGCCATCGACTACTCCCCCCACCTCCCGGGTTGACAAGTAGCTTTAAGCCATCTTTGCAGTCGAATTACTTGATACGGAATCAACACTAGAATGAATACGTTCACGTTCTTGTGCGTGTTGTTGACGAACCCGGGATTTGAGTTCCGCCTCGGTAATGCGGCTCAAACATTGCAACGCGATGATGCTCCAAGGTACGAACTACCAGACCCGTTCCTAGAGGTTGAAGCGCGCTTGCGATACTACAAGCTCGTACACGCGTCTCTTTTTTTCTTATCATTTCTTTTAACTCACTTACATAAGTCCGGCAACGGTGGAGAACGCGAAATAAAACTGGTGCCGTGTCCGTCCAAAGCGTGAACCGTAAGCCATCATCACGACACCCCTCATGCGGCCGTATTAGAGAGCTCCCCGGTCTTTGCCCCAGCACCACAACTTCGCTCCCAATTTTTCAAATGTAACTAACAATGTGGAATTCCTCTCGAAGTCTTCAAGGCAATTAATAGTCAGGTTTTCTTGAGTTGTTGTGTCGGCCACCCGCCCATAACCCCCCCCCCCCCCCCACCCCAAAATCTCACGATATGAGCTTCTCCCCTTCAACCGACAGCCACATACGACCATACCCATTGGAAAACTCGGGATCCCGTCCGCTCTCCCATAGATAAGCCAATGAGGGCCGGATTAGTAGTTGGGTCGGTGACGACCAGCGAATACCTGGTGTTGTATGTTTTTGGATTACCTTTTGGTCAAGGCATCGTCGTTTTGTTGTGGTTGGTGACGATGGATGGAGTGAGATACGGTTGGGTGCCATTTGGTGGGTGAAGGGTGAATGAGACAGGTCTCGGGGTGAGTGGTAAAGGGTAATCCTGTAGTGAATAGCAAGTTCAGGTAATCATTTGACATGGCCGCTGGTAGTTACGTCGAGTCGTGATCGTCCTCAGGGGAAAAGGCGACGGGTTTGGCTGTGAGGTGAATAAGATGGCAGGCTAGTGAATGAGAAAACAACCTGCGCCTTGATAGTCCCTTGCTTGATACATCGAGGAGATGAACCAGGCAACATCTGCGGGATAAAGTATAAAGAGAAGACCGGGTTACCGACATACGTCAAGCCCTATTTACATCGCAACTGCTTGGAATCGTAGTAGAGGGGATGCCTTTTACTTTGACTTTGACGACATCGGTCTAAGACTTAGCCAAGTCATGAGATGAGGCTCAATGCTAAACCCATCGTATACTCTCTTGATATTGTAGGCCTAGAACAGGATGGATGACAGTCATTGACCCTACACGAGACTTACAAATCGTAAGGCGTGCAAGTGAAACTGCAATTTTGTAATATTTAATACAGTAACGATGGAATTACTGCACACCAATCTGAATATCTGGTCCGGCGCCTCTTCATACTTGCTCATATCTCAACTCAGCCACCCCACGCGTGCCTTACTAGTGGTAAAACAACGCAAATGGATACGATCCATCGTTGAGTACGCCCGATCCAGGCGACATGGAATGCCCTTGCTCCCACAGTTCCTGTTTGTATCTTCTCCAGGCCTCGTTTTCCTCTGCGATTCTCTTCTTCTTGGCCTCTGCCTCCAACATGGCCTGGTATTGCCCGATGGCGCCGTAGGTGCCGAGGGAGGCGAGGGTCGTCAGACCGGCGACTTTCCACATGACGGGAACGGCGTTGACTTTCGTTGCCATCTTGAGTGTTCCGTTATAGCCGTTGGAAATCCTGTCCTTGAGGTCGGACATCTTTATGGGAGACGCGGGGATGATTGCGCTCTGCATCGGCTCCGTCTTGTTGACTTTGTTGGCGCTTGGGTTGGGAGCCTTGGCTCTTAGGGGATGAGTTCTACTGAGGAGGCTAGATCTGACGCTTTCGTTCCCGCTCGTCCAACGAGGCCATGTGAAGGCGCTTGGCTTTGGTTTGGTGAGCGTATTGCGTTCCTCGCGGGCTCTGCTTATGGAGCAGCGGTACTCGGAGGGGGCACGCCTCTTGTTCAGGGCTGCGGTGGTTGACAGGAGACGCGACTGTTGGGTGCCGAGTCTGGTAGCTGAGGTGATTGTGGCCATGAATGTGGGCATAGCGAGTCGCTGGATGGCGAGGTTGATTTTGGATGCCATTTTGTAAGTGATGAGTAGTGAGGTTTGGCTTATGTTAGATTATGTTCTTAATAATTTGAGGTTGGTGGAAGGTGGAATGAAATGATTAGGAATCTGGGATGGGTTCCAAAAACTTGGCTTGACTTATATCTATGTCTGAAGTATCGGAGAAAGGTCGAGGAACTGAAGTTTGATATTTTGTCGGTTAGCAATGTTCATGACTGGGCAGCGTCAAGTTTCGATGACCTTAAAGCCCTTTCCTTTAGTTTGATAGATGGGGGCATGGTTTGTGGCATTTCAGGGAAGGAAGCGGTCTTTTCAAAACTTCCTTTCCATTCATGACAAATTTCTGTCAATTACACGGGTTCAGCTGCATCTCTTGTTCAAAAACTGACTTGAGTGTGAAACGAAAAGCACATGTTAGTACGAAGTAGCTATGGCAAGATGGTATCGTTTACTAGCTTTTATATGTTCTTCTCGAAATCTGAGGGCGAAGGACAACCCGACCATCATCGCTAGTAAAGGGTTGTGCTTTGTCTCGACATCACTCGGTCCACCAAGGTGCTCCATGAAAACGCAGAGGTCATCATGGTGTAATATCAGGATTCCTCCGCCAAGAATGAAGTCTTTGCCTCTAAATCAGCGATCATGGGCGTTAGTAAAGCGTAGTGAGGCTCATCTGCCTCATCGACTCCGATTCAGACTACCAACCACTGCAAACACCTACAAGTGGTCGACAGATATGAACCCTGGTCACCACCCAACCCCTCCTGACCCATCTCTTTTGGTACGCATCTTTTAGGAACACCACTTTCTGGGAAGAAACAGCTACTTTCGCCTATGAAACGACTCTAAAAGAGCAACTGATAGTCGCGTATATATACTCGCAAGCCGCTATCCAAGATTGTGATTATCGGCAGGAAACATATGGGTCGATGGCTTCTCGTACAATCAATCATTGGACGGCAACTTCGTGTGATGATGCAGGCAAGTGCTGCAACCTGCACGTACGGATGCCTCATGACCACTCTTCTAACCGAATATATTTTTGGGCTATTAGCAGTACCCAGAGCTATCACACGACCCAGACTCTTTTCATCCCCTCGCCTCCATGCCACGTCTGTCTTTCGGGTAATGTATTCGCTCAGAGGCGTGGTACACGACAGACCTCTCATCCCGATCGTAACCTACTCTTTGAGTTTCTGCTGCCAAAGCCTCACGTACTGGATGTACCACTCGACACAGTGCTCATTGCAGCTCTAGGGCAGCCACTCTCGATCCCGAGTCAGCAGTGAGAGCCCTTATGAATGCAATCGGTCCATCTGAATCTTTGTCCGACAGGGATTCGCAATGACAGAAATCAACCCCTCCGAGGACGCCAAGCCCGGCTGCATTTCTGCCTTGATCTCTTGCTTCGGTCTCGGATCAAAGAAGAAAACGCCCATCTCAACAGGACCGCCGTCAAAGCCAGCCCCAACAAGCAACCCAAAGTTAGAGGCGCCGGTGAAGTCTGCCAATGATTCCGTCTCGAATGGCATGGCGGGTCCAATCTCGTCCGGACAAGTAGGTGCTGGAAACGCAGACACCGGGAGCAAACACACCAGAGAGTCTACCGAAGCTCATGTTGGAGCGCCCTTATCAGACACTCAGCTAGCCAAGCATCAGCCGGTCATGGTTGCAGAAAACACCTCAGTCGACCTGTGGCATGAGGCGCTCAACAAAGTTCACAAAGACACCAAGTCTTGGATGGGAAAGTTCGGTATCAATCGCTCCGGTACCATTCAAGTCCAAGAGTTGAAGACACTGGTTAGGCAAAGTGAAGAGAAATGCCACGACGCCAGTTCAGGCTTGAAAATTGGGGGACGAAATATCTTGTGGAGGGACTACGCGAACCGTGTCGTGGCCTGGGTAACTATGATCGGCGACATTGCCATACCATTCGCCCCTGCGCCGGTTTCACCGGTGTGGTCGGCACTCAGAGTGCTCCTGAAGGTAAAATCATTCAAGCAGGCCCAATAACTCTCGAAGTTTGCTAACTCGCAAAGGCGGAAACAAGTCGAGTCGAACAAATCACCGCTGCTTTTGGTGCCGCCGACCGCATTCTCAGTATTGTCAGGCGGGGTCAGATATACGACTCTGTGTACGGCGTTTCTAGCGGGGCTTTGACAGAATCCTCGAGAAGGCTCCTAAGGGACTCTATCATTGAGCTGTACAGATCCTCACTAGACTTACTAGCTTCGACATCCACTCAGCTTGATGGACAAGAATCCTGGGCAACGCAATTTGTCGCGGCTCTCACTGATCCAAACCATGCGGAATCGATGTTATCAGACCTGACAGACGCGGAGAACGAAGTCTCTAAGAACGTAGAAACTTGCGTTTGTGAGTCAACAGAGAGAAATCTCGAGCTGTTGCAAAGTCTTCACAGCCCTCTGCGACGCATCGACGATAGGGTATTGCAGCTTCTAGATTGTTTCGAGGAAATGGAAAGGCAAGACAGAGAATATGCCATGAACTACATAAGTGACGTCAAAGTCGATGGGATCCATGTTGCAAAGAAAGAATTGAGGACCGAGGGCACCTGCGAGTGGCTTGTAAAGCATCCGGGCTTCCTTGCGTGGGAAGAGCCAAGCTCGTCATCAATCTTATGGCTCAACGGTCAAGGTACGCCAAACATTCTCCTTGTTGTGGGAATCAGTGCTGATAAACAGAAAATAGTGGGAGCTGGAAAGTCTTTCCTGACTTCTAAAGTAATTGATCGCTATCGGTCTCGTCCTGGCGATGTTTTAGGATCATCACAGAACGATGAAGGATTTGCTCACTTTTATTGCGATCGCTCACTAGCTGGTCGGAAAGAGATTAAATCCATTCTCAGCAGCTACATTGTGCAGCTCTTGACGATGTCACGCCACCGCGACCGATGGCACAAGAAGCTTCTCGTGCTTTGCAAAGACGCTGCGGCATCTCGACGAAGCTTAGAAATATCCGAATGCGAACGATTCGTACGCGACTTGGTCAACACGTACCCACGATCTATTCTAGTGCTGGATGCTCCGAACGAATGCGATCAGAGCTCGAGAATACAAATTGTGAGCTTCTTTCGAAAGTTTGTCAAAGACTCTGACCGGCCCGTCAAAGTCTTCATATCTAGTCGCCCGGAGACCGATATACTTGAGCTGTTGAAAGCGTCGCCTTGCATCCAGATCAGCACTCTGGATAACCAAAAGGACATCGAGAAATACATTGACCTTAAGCTCAGCCAAGTCGGTCTTAGCCCTGTTTGGAAGAGACAGAGTGTACAGGAGCTCGTAAGAAAGACTCTTCTCGAGAAACATGGTGGAATGTGAGTAATTTTTCTACAGCTACAAACATCAGAAACAGCTATTGACATTCGCTGTCTGACCAGGTTCAAATGGGTCCAGCTGCAATGGGATCAGTTGGAGCCATTGAATACAGAGATCGATGTGAAGCACCGACTCAAGCAGCTTCCGGAGGGCCTCGTGGCCTCTTACGAAGAGATCTGTTCCCGGCAAGACGGCCACGCATTGGAGATTCTCATGAGAGTCGCCATGTGGGTCAAATGGGCCGAGTTTCCGTTAGAGACACTGGCTCTTCTCCATGTTGTTAGACTGCCATTCTGTCAGACACATGAGCAGCTCAACCCTACTTTGGAGGAAGAAATCATTACAGAGACAGAATTAGGCAATATATGCCGTCATCTGATGATCGAAGACACATGGAACTCCCGATGGGAATTTGCACATGCCTCAATCGCAGAATCTTTTCGACACTAAGCTCAGCTACTGGACTGACAGCAGTGAATTGTACGTTGCAGCGCTGTTACTCCTACATGCATCTTTACCAAAAGAACAAGATCTTCCTGAAGAGACCGCGAAAGATAGCATGAGCGTCGCTTTCTCCGAATATGCCCACAAATACTGGTCAAGGTCTGTTGGGAGAATATACAAACGACGTCCCGAAACAAAGGAAATCTCGGGTATTCTGGGTTACTGTCTGGGCCTTAGTGATGTTGCCGATACTTCGAGCTTTCGACACCAAACAGCCCTTGATGAAAAGGGGGCTCTGAGGAGAAGGTGGTTGGTGCATGACCATGAGGATATGCAGCCATGGGACAATCCTGTCTTTGCAGCCTGCGAATTAGGGTCTCTTGACTTACTAGATCATCTGCACCGACTTGGGTATGATCTCACTCAAGCAAATGACGGGGGACGAAATTTGCTGTTAATGGCTGCTTGGCACGGATACGATGAGATTTGTTCATTTCTCATTGATCATGGGGCAGAGATCAACACTCTGAACCATGTCATGACCTATCGCAGAGGCTCCTCTGCACTACATGCCGCCTGTCTCCAAGGCCATCTTACTACCGTCAAACTACTTCTTTCGAGGGGAATCGACCCAAACTTGAACGGAGAACACACGCCTCTATGTCGCGTCATCGAAAATTACGACTACACCGAGATTTTTTCAACGTTGTTGGATTGGAAAGCGGACCCAAATCTTCCCTGCCAAAGCGGCGGATTCATGTGCTGTCTCAAGTCTGTTTTCCGATATGACGCAGATGAGGCGCTGATATTATTTCTGAAACATGGACTTGATACAACAAAATGGACGGACAATAACGGAACGGCCCTGGATAAAGCAGCTTATCGAGGGGCAGCAAAATGCAGTCGAGTCCTAATTGAAGAGCTGGGCTACGACGCGAACAGTTCGGATGGGGGAATTTATGGCAGCATGCTGGGAGCTGCAGCATGCGGAGGGTCAGTAACAATGCTTCAATACTTGATTGAGGAAGTAATGGTCGATCCGAATATTCTCATCTCTAGTCCTCCGAAACCTTCAGCATTTCGGTGGCCTGCGGACACGGCATGGTACTTCTTGAAACAACAGCATTTGACGCAGGGGGGACCTCCTCAAGATTGGCATACCTCTAGAAGCGATACAAGGAGCAGTTGATTTTATTGCTTCGTCAACATGAAGGTCTCATCTTTTCTATTCTACCTAATTCTCAATCTCTATGATCTTCGTAGGGTCGCCTTTTTCTTCATCACCACACGCCTTGCCGCGATTCCTCTTCTTAGCTATCATTCCTCTCAACATAACTCTCTGCGTAAACTTTGTGGTCCAGTGATGATAAAAGTGAGCAAGAACGTGCTGGTGGCGGATCTTTCTGTTTCTTGTGGTTCCCGGCCCTGTGTTTCCGCTCAGCCAATGGCATCACTGGACCAGACCAAAACCCGTCTCGATTCGGCAACTCGTATGGTATCACGAAACTCAAACCCGACGTCCACCACTATCTTCAAATTCTTATGACCTCGCGACTCGATTTATTGGCAAACAAACTCCCTGGGAGTGTGTCTCACGGTCACTTACAAGAAATACACCTCAAAAAAGTAGCCCTCAGTGTTGGCCCCCGTTTGCGTCAGGTCATGACCGCTTAAGACCATGCATACTATGTACTCTACCTTACACACCTGAACTTCCGCCAACGACACACGTCGTCTGGAAAATTGCTGAGACGGTGCTGCGCTCAAGCTCACGCATGCGAGATGAACCCTCCCATCCGAACGGTGAGACAGCTTCTTGACAGCCATGCGGCGCGCGGTTGCGCGATGTGCGGGGTACGGGATTACATCACATGTGAAATGGCGGGGTCATCAAAAAGACGACATGCTCCTCCCATTCTGTGCAAAAACAAGCGATTTTGAAAATGTTTTCTTTTTTTTTGTTTTATGATTTCAATTCTACAAACACGGATCGCTCAAGACCGCATTGTTTCCCTTTTCACAGGTAACAGGATATCGTTACGCAAGGTAGGTAGTTTTACACAAGGCGTGGGAGGGGGAGGGTTTGGTGGGTTTTGGGGTTAGCTCTCCACGTTATATCAACAAGTAACAACAACATCATTTAACACGACCGATCTCCAGTGTGCCGCTTCTACTGCTTGTAAGCGCTGGGACCGATCATGAGCTCGGGGCGGACGAGCTTGTCAAAGTCCTCCTCGGAGAGGGCGTTGAGCTCGAGGGCGGACTCCTTGAGGGTGAGACCCTTCTTGTGGGCGTTCTTGGCGACCTTGGAGGCCATGTCGTAGCCGATCTTGGGGTTGAGGGTGGTGACCAACATGAGGCTGTTGGCTTGTTAGCAAGCAAAGACATAATCTTATAAACAATAATGGTAACTTACGACTCCTTCATGATGCTGGCAATCTTTTCCTCGTTGGCCTGGAGGCCGACGACAAGGTTCTTCTCAAAGGAGCGCATGCCGTCGGAGAGGATGCGAACGCTGTGGAGAAGGTTGCGGATGACCAGGGGCTTGTAGACGTTGAGCTCGAACTGGCCGTTCATGCCTCCAATGGTGGTGGCGACGTGGTTACCCATAACCTGGGCGCAGACCATGGTGAGAGCCTCGCACTGGGTAGGGTTGACCTTGCCGGGCATGATGGAGCTGCCGGGCTCGTTCTCGGGGAGGTTGAGCTCACCAAGACCGCAGCGGGGACCACTGCCGAGGTAGCGGATGTCCTGGGCGATCTTGGAGAGGGAGGCGGCGAGGGTGTTGAGGGAGCCGTGGGCCTGGACGATGGCGTCGTGGGCGGCGAGGGCCTCGAACTTGTTGGGGGCGGTCTCGAACTTGGTGCCGGTCATCTTGGAGACCTCCTCGGCGATGCCCTCAGCGAAGCCCTGGAAGGTGTTGATGCCGGTACCGACGGCGGTACCACCCTGGGCGAGCTGGCGCAGGTCGGGCAGGGAGGACTCGACTCTCTTGATGCTCTGGCTGAGCTGGGCGACGTATCCGGAGAACTCCTGGCCGAGGGTCAGGGGAGTAGCATCCTGCAAGTGGGTGCGGCCAATCTTGATAATCTGCTTGGCGTCGAACTCGTCAACCTTCTTCTGGAGCGCATCGCGGAGGCTCTTGAGGGAGGGGATAAGCTCCTGCTCGATCTCGAGGACGGCGGCGATGTGCATGACGGTGGGGAAGGTGTCGTTGGAGGAGGCGGAACGGTTGACGTGGTCGTTGGGGTGGACGGGCTTCTTGCTGCCCTTGACACCGCCGAGGATCTCGATAGCGCGGTTGGAGATGACCTCGTTGGCGTTCATGTTGGACTGGGTGCCGGAGCCGGTCTGCCAGACGACGAGGGGGAAGTGGTCGAGGAGCTTGCCCTCGGCGACCTCAGCAGCAGCCTGCTGGATGGCCTTGCCAATCTTCTCGTCAAGGCCGTAGCGCATGTTGACGGTGGCGGCAGCGCCCTTGAGAATACCAAAGGCCTTGACGATCGGGGGCGGCATGCGATCCTGGGGCTGGTTGATCTTGAAGTTCTCGAGGGAACGCTCAGTCTGAGCGCCCCAGTACTTGTCCGCGGGGACCTGGATCTCGCCAAAGGCATCGCTCTCGGTACGGGTTTCGGCCATTCTGGGAGCAGTGGTGTGAATGCTTCTCTGGAGGGAGAAAGGGCTGGTGAGGTTTGCTGATCTGGAGTTCGTCGCGGGGTAAATAGCTGCGGGGGAAGAGGAGGTGTATCGGGTCGAGCATGTGGAGAGGCTCTTTGCGCATGTCCTCGGCATAACGGTAAGCCGTGTGTTCGCCAGGCCGGAAGCGGCGCGACGAGCTGGTGCCGATCGAAGCATGGCGGGCGTTTTTTTCTCTGTTGGTAGTTGGAGAAAGGGTCTTGGAGAGTAGAAACAGCGGTCTAAGTCGCAATTCCTAGCTTATACGGAGCCAATTGAAGCTTTGAAGACCTCGATGGGTGATGAGAAGGAGTACGTGAAGTTATTGCCAGATCAGCCAAAAAGATCTCCAAGGACAAGAGAAAGGAGAAAAAAAAAAGGTCTCGTTTTTGCCGGCTCAATAATTAACAGGAGTTCCATCACCTCCGAGTTCGTTCCGTTGGGGGGAGCTCTGACACTGTGGAGCTTGACTGTGGTCCGTGCAGCCCGGCTTATCCCGATAACCCGATTGCACAGCAACGACCACCGGCGGCCCTGCCTTTGGCCGAAAGTCTCCGGTTCTCCATGTCTTACATAATCAACCAAAAGTGGAGTGCTGTCAGTCTGTCAAGGAAGATTATGTAATTAATGTATCTGGATGCACGGAATCCTTCGGCCTTTCATCCCACCCGCCGTGTCACACTCATCCAGGTCCTGAGCCGAAATCGTCGACCGTCGACCATCGACCAGATTCCCAGCGTGTCATCGTCACTGGTGCAGCAGCGGCAGCACGCACTCGTTCAGCCCCCAGAGGCCCTTGCATCGTCCGCAGCGGGAGCATGTTGATAGGACAACTAGGGCAGCATGGCGGGGATCCCGGCCCCGCTCCGCTGCAGCATGTCATCACAACACAAGACGGCCCGTTGGGAATTGCTCTCGAGTTTGCAGAGGCCCACCGTCCACCCCTCTTCGCCGCCGCCGCCGGCCACGGGGTCGGAGAGCTTAGCTTCCCTGGAGGAACCCGTTGCCACGGACTTGCCGCCGTTCACAGCCTTCCTCTCATGCCCACATTGACGGTCGACCCCAGCCCGCCCCCCTGGTCCTCCGGGGGCTCTGTCTTGAGGGTCTTGGTGCACGCAGGACGCAGTACGACAGAAAGGCGGTGTTGGCAATCTTTGAGGGGCCCTTAGATTTGAGGCCATCGCGGCCATTGGACCAACCGGCGCAACCACACAGCCATTAGCGCCTGACGGTCTAGACGGACAACTTTGATCAGCAGATCCAAGAGACACGGCTACCTCATAATGCCATGCCAGTGCTGCAGGTAATGTCGCGAAGCATTACTCGCCAGTAGCTCATACGACACATTTCCCGCCAAGCTAGGTAGTCACCGAGGAGTCAGAACAGGGGATGTAGACGATGCGAGCTCCATTAGCTTACTGCATGGTACCGCAACTGCTGTTGCTAACCAACTAACTTGCTACTGATGCTGATGCTGATGCCGTTGTGGTCAGGATGGGGAAGAGACGCTATGCAACTGGGTGGGTTTCACATCCTTCAGCCCAACTCTTCTCCTTTTGGGTGGCTTGCTCATTGCTCACTCACCCCATTTTCCCATGCCTACCCTTACATTAGTGCATCTATCTGTCTCCTTTCCTTTCTTTTACATGCATCCACAGCCTCCTTGTCTTTCGTTTCGTATCCAACCCGATTCTCGAGGCTCCAAGATCTGTACAAGTACTTGAAGTCAGCCGCACGCTGCTCAATTGAAGCTAAGAGAGCACGCGACATCTCATCTCTTCTCTCTCCATCTGATATATAAGAGCAAAAAAAGAGGAGCTCCCATCGCTGTCCCACACACACGTACACTTGGGCCAGAGAGAGCCCCTCATTCCCTGTCCCGCACGTTTTGTCTCAACTTCGAGCTCCAAAACCCCACCTCGGTTCCCGTCAGCTCGCATTTTCGCAGTCAAGTTCAGATTCGACAGCGACAAACCCAGTTCGAGTGTCCAAAAGTCTCCAAGCAACTACCATGTCTCTCCAGGTTGACGACCGAGGCCGTCGTACCCGTTCGCGCTCACCAGGCCGTCGCGAGCGCAGTCGGAGCCCAGCGGTCCCCGCCATGGTTGATTCCCCGCGCGAGCCCAGCTATGCTTACCCGGAAGACGACCTCGATGGTGGTAGATATGGACGCGAGAGAGGAGGCGCCAACGTCGTCACCGCAGAGCCAGGCGCCAGCCGCGCCATGTCGGGAGCTATTCCTTACCCAGAGGACGGCAGCGACGCAATGTTTCCAGGCACCAGGTCACTCTACGACTACGACGACCCGCGCGGCAGCAATCCTGCTTACCGTCCGCCCCCATCCCCGCAAGACAACTACTACCGCAACTCGCGCGAAAAGTACGACGAGCCCCGCGACGACGACAAGCTCAAGTATCTGCCCGCAAAGTACAGCAGTCACGGTCGCAGTAACAGCAAATACGGCAACGAGGCCGAATACGCGCCTCAAAAGCCGCCTCGCCCTGACGCGGGCGACCTGTACCCCCCAGCGAAGCCCCCTCGCCCTGTGTCGCCCGGCGGCTACGCTTACGCTCAGCCGCAGCCCTACGAATACGCAAAGACCGACGACAAGGCCAAGAAGAAGGAAGAAAAGAAGAAGGCTTTGGAGGAGAACCTCGCATACGGCTTCGATCCCAATGCTTCTAGACCAGGCGGCCTCGCCCCTGAGCCCCGATACTCTGGTCGCGCACCGAGTCCAGGACCACAGATCTCGGCCGGCGCCGCGCAGTACTACGCCAACGACCCGCGCGTCTCGTCCAATGTCCTAACCGTCGAGCCCGGCAGCCGCAGGCGGGACAAGTCGCCCCAGCCGCCTACTCACCGCATGTCGAACCTCTCTGTAAACACTGGCCACCACTCCATGAACGTGAGCATGTCGCTAGCCAACGCACCGGGGTCGCCGCTGCTGGAGTCGTACCACGGCACCTATCAGGACATGTCACCCATGCCGTCACCCATGCTGCTCCCCTCATCACACGACCTGCAGGTCATGGAGCCCCTCTCGCCAATCGGCTCTGACGACGAAGGCCGACGACGCCGCCGTGCGCGGTTCCACGACATTGAGGACGATGCGTCGAGAATCGCAAAGGCGCTACGCAGTGACAGGAAAAACCCGGACCCGGAGCCGCTTATTGAGATCCTGCCCGGCCTCACACACGACCAGGTCATGGACCTCCGCAAGGAATACAAGGCTCTCGTCAAGACGGGCGCCGACCGCAAGGGCGTCAACGTGGCCAAGCACATCCGCTCCCGCCTCAAGGACTCCGAACCGAACCTGATGAAGGCCTGCTACGCCACGGCGCTCGGTCAGTGGGAGAGCGAGGCGTACTGGGCCAATTTCTGGTATCAGGGCGACAAGACGCGTCGGGAGCTGCTCATCGAGTCACTCATGGGCCGCACCAACCACGAGATCCGCCTCATCAAGGACGGCTTCAGCGATAAAAAGTACGACAACAGCCTGACAAAGTGCATGAAGACAGAGCTAAAGGAGGATAAGTTCAAAAAGGCCGTGCTGATGGTGCTCGAAGAGCGCCGGATGGAGGAGTATGATCCGTACGGCCGCCGCCTGGCCATCGACTACCACTCGGTCGAAGATGATGTTTCGGACCTGCGCAAGGCCGTCAAGTCGGAAAAGGGCGGCGAGTCGCTCATGATTAGCATCGTCGTGCAGAGGAGCGATTCGCATTTGCGCGAGGTGCTCAAGTTGTACGAGCGGACGTACCGTACCAATTTTGCCCGCGACGCGCTCAAGAAAAGCGGCAACCTAGTGGTGAGTAATTTCCATGGTTACACAAACAAAGATAGACACAGAACTAACACATGTTGTCTTCATAGGGAGAACTCCTCGCCCACGTCCTCAACGGCGTCATCAACAGACCCGTCCGCGACGCCCTGCTAGTCCACCACGCCCTTACAGCAAGCCGTAAGGACGACCTGCGCCGTGAGCTGCTCATCTCCCGCCTCGTCCGCTTCCATTGGGACCGTCACCACCTCGAAGCCATCAAGCGCGCCTACCGGGAGCGGTACGGCCGCGACATGCAGGAGGCCGTCCGCGAGGGCACCAGCGGCGAGTGGGGCATGTTCTGTAGAGAGCTGTGTATCTACCGTATGCCCGACCAGGTGAAGAGTTACGAAAAAGTGCCGGCGCAGGTGCGGTAAGAGGTTTCTGGATATCAAAACGAAGAGTGAAAAGGGGAGTAACTTAATTGCATGAAGAGATTGACGATGGGATGTAATGAGATCATGTGAGATGGGAGGTTATTTGAATGAAATATTATATATCATATTGCTGAACTCGAGATCACGCTCTACACATGGTCTTCCGCGATTTTTTGACCGTAAAGCTTGTTACTCAAGTTAAAACCCATCCCACGATCATCATCATGACCGCGAGTGACCCTGAAAACGAACCGCCTTCACCACCTCATCCCTCCTAGCAACAGCCGTCTCCCCCAGAGCATATGAACTCCCCTGCGACCGATCATCCATCTCCCCAACCCTCTCACTAACATCCGACCTCCTCTCCCAGCTCCTCGCCCGTCTCCTACTTCCAGGTTCGACACTACCCCTTCCTCGATCATCACCGCGCCGTTGCTCATGATGATACCCGCCTCCACGATTCAAACCACGCTCGTCACCACGTCGTCCGTCATCATATCCGACACCGCCCCTAAACTCCCGTACCCCTTCATCCCCACGACCGCCGTGCATGACATACCCATCCCTCCTATCCCCGCTCACCCCCCTCCTCACACTCCGACTCCGACTCCGACTCCTATCCCTACTTACAGTCCTACTTCTGCTCCTGGTTACACTCCTACTCCTGCTCCTCCCCATCTCACCCCTCCACCTCCCATCATCACCCTCGCGCCGAACATAAACATGTCGGACCCTCTCACGAAAGTACCTCCCTCCATCGCGAGACCTACTTCTTGCCTCATAACGCGGCCTACTCCACTCACCGCGAGATGAGCTTCTCCGAGGAGGAGGAGGAGGAGGAGAAGCCTCATACTTCGCAACCGGGAACAACAGCCCCCTACCCCGCGAAGGGCTAAAGACCTCTTTGTATCTCTGGTCAAGGTCTCCTCCAGACAACCCAGTGCGATAACGCCTCCTCGGTTCGTGACTTTGTGTATGCCGTTGCCCTCTTCCTCCTCGCCGGGGTTCTGTCGCCATGTACGGCCGTCTTGAATCCCCGCACGATCCAGTACCGGTACAGACATGCTTCGTCATCGTATTCGTAGATCCCGAGAGACATCCTCGTGACCCGCGTGGTTTGTCGTCGACTTTGAAGCCCCATTTCTTCGGATCTTGCTATTTGACACCATCAGCACAGTCACACATCAACCTCAACTCCGGCTGCTCCCAAAAAAAATTACCCAAAGTATCATTTGCAAGCAAAGAGAAAGGAAAGTAAAAGGCGTAGGTAGATAGATCGAGATACTCACCTCACCAGGACACCTCGACACCCCAACAACATCACCACCCCACTCCCCCAACTTCTTCACAGGATAAAGCTTACTCCAGAACCCTTTCCCCTTCTTCTTCTTCTTCCCCCTCTTCTCACATGCCTTGCACTTCTTCCTCTGCTCAAACTCCTCACACTTCTTCCCCCTCTTACCCCCACAACCACTTCGTGTCGTCCCCCTACCAACATCACATCCAAATCCAAACCCACAACTTTCTCTCATACCTCCTCCTCTAGTCTGACACCCATACCCACCGGAACAACACTCCACCATCTCAAAGCAACACTCATCTTCCTCCCAACACCCTCCACACCCACCACACCCGCTACAGCCTTCCTCCTCCTCTTCCGACGTCGTCTCAGATTCAGAGGTATCTTCACTCCCATCATCATAGTAATAATACCCCCCACCACTACCGCCACCATCACCACCAACCACGCCGACATCAACACCTTCCTCAATAACCCCATCATCATCGAGACAAATCACATCGCCTCCGACATCACTAAGTCCCCCGATCGGTACTCGCTGTCGAAGGTCCGTCATCTCCAAAAAGAGAGTCTTTTTCGACCGCGATGATAGAATGCTGTCTTATAGATCGTCGTTTTCGATTTGTATCAAGTCATCCGAATCCCGCCTCCCGGACTTTGAATGATGAGGCAGATTCTGCTTTGTTGGAAAAAAAAAAAGACTTTTAAAATAACAGAAAACAAGTAAGACAAGCAGGCGCGGCTACCCGCATATCCAAGGTCACCCAAGTACAACCACCAAGGCCAAACAACATCCACGACGAATCCAGCGGTGAGGACACGAAACAATTTTCATTCACATGAACTTAGATACACATGTGGATAGCAAGTCATGGGCTCCTCTTCTTAATTTCCGAATCTATTCGTCTCATAAAGGCAACTGAAAATATGTAATTTTGACCACAACAACAATAAAACAAGCGCAAACCCGATGCTAGACACGCCGATGCTGTACGTATACAACAGGAAAGAAAAACACCATAACACGCCCTTCGTGACCAAACGCACGCTCCGTATCCCCAGACCTTTACAGTCTGTGGCTCGAACGCCAAAACAACCCGTGCTCAGTCAATCCCATTTAAACATTACAACGTCTTTTCCCCATACATCGACATCATACTCTTCACACCCCGCCCCTTTCACAAGAACCCCTTGGTGAGACTCGGGGCCCGACTAAGGCTGCTCTTCCGCTTGGGTACAGAAATCATAGAGGCGGTATCATCATCAACGCTGAACCCTGTGCGCCACGCGCCGCGGACGCTTCCCATCGCGGACGCCGCCCCCTTTTCGAATCTCAACGCCTTGATGCCTTCGAGCTCACGCTCCAGGCGCATCGACCTCTCCTTTTCCTCGCGGAGTTCCCGCTCAGCACGGCGTGCCTGAAGCTGGTTCTCCGACTCGGACGACTGAAGCTCCTCAATCGTTTGCAGGAGCTTCTCCGCCTTGTCACGCATGCGGGCAACGTCGTCCTGCAGCTGTGTGTTTTGCTTGTCCTTGCGGTCGATCTGACCTTGGAGGTCCTTGACGATCCGGTCAACATTGCGAACCGATCGCTGGGACTTATTCTTCTCATTCTCATGCTCCTCAAGCTGGGACTCAAGCTGATTGATGTTGTTAGCTACTGTATAAGAAGCGTGTCTTGTAATTGGCTATTCTTACCTCTTGGATGCGCTTGTGCAGGAACTTGATATCTTGGCTGGCGCTTGAGTAGCCCTTGGTCTCAAGGTCGACCAACTTGATCTGAATCTCATTCAAAGACTTCTCCAGGGTGGCCTTAACCTTCTGGAGCTGTGTGCTGGCCTCGCGCTCAACCATGGCCTCCTTTTGCATTTCCGCAGCCAGTGCCTCGGCGCGTCTCATCTTCTCCACTGCAGCAGCTGCAATGTCTTCATGCTGAGCCAGGCTGGACTTCAACTCCAACATTTCCTTGTCCAGGTTGGCGGCGTCACGAAGTGATGCGCTGTCACCATTGGTGAGATCTTCCAGACCAGCCTTAGCTTCTTCAAGGCGAGCCTCGATGCTGCGCTTCTCCCGGACAAGAAGATCTCGCTCAGAAGTCACTTCATCCACAGAGGCCCGGAGAGACCGAACCTGAGAAAGCAAAGTCACGACCTTGCCTTGGGCCTCGCTGTGGGCGTTGACCGCCTCATCGCGTGACGATACGACATCAGCCAGAGTTGACTCGAGGCGGGCCTTTTCCTTGGACCAGGTCGAGCTGTTGAGAACTTCATCGTCCCACTTAGAGCGGAGCTCATCAAGCTCCTCGCGCAACCGGGCAATCTCGGCTTGCTTGAAGAGTTTCTCCTCGCGAGCCAGATCAAGCTCCTTGGTCAATGTGGCGAACTCGGCTTGGTACTTCTTGCGTGTTTGCTCCATACTGGTTTCCTTGTCCTCGATATCGTTGGCTCTCTGGTTCCTGTAGTCCTCGAGCTCGTGCTGAAGGCGCTTCTTAGCTTGGCTTGCGGCATCCAGATCGGTCGAAACGTCCTCGAGCTTCTCTTCAAGCCTCTGGTTCTGGCGTTGAAGGTCCTCAATGGTGGCGTCCATCTTTTCTCTTTCGGACATGACTTCGGCGTACGTCTCCTCGGCCTCCTTCGCCTGCGTCTTGGCGAACAACTCTGCCCGGTTGGCCTTCAAAACGGCAATCTCGGCTTGCTCTAGTTTACTGAAATACTCATCAGCACGACTCTTGTATAGGTTCAAGCTGGACCCAACGTCGGCGAGTTTGGAAGTCTGGTTGTCAAGTTGAATCTGCAGATCTGAGAAGTCCTGCAAAAGCTGGCTGCGGCTGGCAGCCTCTTGCTCGCGAGCCAGGCTCATTTCCTCGAGTTCGGATGTGGTGTCACGAAGCTCGACTTCAAGAGCAGCTCGATCGTGGCGCATCCGTTCGAAATGGTTCTTGACATCCGAAAGTTCCGAGATGGCATCCCTGTGACTATGCAGAAGTGAGCGACGCGCCTCTTCTTGGCTGTTGAGCGCGTCCAGGATCTCTTCGTGCGATCGGGTCTGAATATCACGCAGAGACAACTCGCCGGTCCTCACGCTCCGCTCCAGAGCCGACACCTTCCTTGCGGAGTCGTCCAGCATGTCGTGCAGGCGGCTGTTGACTTTCTCCAACTTCTGGACTCGAAGAACAGATGAGTTCTCGTCGAATTCCTCTGGGGGCGAGGAACCGCGCTCGATCTGGCTTTGGAGGTGTCGATTCTGCATCTCGGCAATCTGAAGCTGGTTCTGCAACTCCTCAACCTCGGCCTTGAGATCCATGCGGTTGTTGAAGCTCAGGATGTCCGCAGTCTTATCAGAGCGAGCCGAGTCCATATTCTCTGGCTCGAAACGGCGGGTGGGCGTCGAGTTGTTCGAGTACTGACGATTCTGCATCTTGGACCGCCTGAAGGTGGGCGAGCCATTGAAAGGGGCCTCGTTAGGGCTGATCTCTTCCAGCTTGGGCCTCATGGGAGACTCCATGCGAGAAGAGCGCAGCTCAGCCAACTGGGCCTCGGCATTTGTTCTAGCAGCCGTTTGGACCCGAAGGTTCTGCTGGAGATCTTCGACTTTCCTAACCAGATCGAAATTCTTGCTAAGCACGCCCTCGTTTGTGCCGTCTGCTTGAGGCGGGACAACAACGTCGGGATCGACCGTCTTAAGGACCTTGAGCATCTGC